ATTTTTACCCTTTTCATATTTGTTGTGACTACCAATGCACATATTATGAAAGATTGAAGATCAACTGAGAACTTTATCAAAAGATTGAACACTAACATTGCGATTTTTCTTATAGGAATATGATATAACTAGGGTTGGACACGGGTTAACCCAACAGACAACAGTTCGGCCTGGATGAAATTCATGTTGCGTTTTTTATATCGTAAGTATACGATATCGTAACAAGTAATATGGAAACCTTTGAATCCGAATTATCGTTCTCACGAGTACTAGACTTTAATGCTTAACTTACTATATTTAACTACTATCTAACAAAAACAAACAAACAGTCGTGATTGTTATGATTTCTAATTTGAATAATTGAAAATAAGTGGATGCACACAAAGATCGATTTAGAATTCAAATAACGAATGGATATTAACAATTTCATCTATTGATCACATTTAATTCTTAATTCAAGATTCAAAAATCTAATATATTATTCGATTAAATTCTTCTATTATATTCAATTTACCTTTTTCGGATTCTCATTAAACCTATTTAACTAATGCACTCATATCTCTATGTGAATCAACATTATTTAAATGAAATATTGGTTCTAAAAATTCATATAATTTCGTAATAATTAGTATATGTATCTCTATACGTCATACTAATTTAGCGGATTTTAGATGTGGTCTAAATTTCAAACTAACCTTTTGATTAGTAAAAAAATCACAAAATCATCAAATTAACGATAAAGTAATTTAACGCAATAAACTCATAGCAAAATCAATACATGTATGATAAAATAACAAAAAACTTGATTAAATGAAATAAATGGTTCCAAGTAGATTACATTGTTTGTTTTAATATGAAATTTTGCTACCCATAATGTAAAAAGAAAAAACAAGAAGTCGTTATTGAATACATCACCGAGTTTTAAATAAAGACATAGAAAAAGTAATTAATATTGCACCAAGATCTTCTTCATCTTCTAATCAATGCTTTAAAACTTGAATTTCTTGATTTTTTTTCTCCCTTAAATTGCGTTTTTCAATATCTAGTTGTATTATCTTTCTCTCAACATGTGGGCGCTGTGTTGCTTATTGGAATTTTCGTTTTGAAGTGCTTGGGTGCTCCACGTATGACACATAGACGCTGACTTTTTACTTATGTACCTTAGTTTTTCGCTTGTTTCTTCAATTTAGCACAATTTTTCACCACCTTTCCAACGTATAAAACAATATTAACAAACACATCAAAAGCGTTCTATACTCATAAAATTTAGTCAACAATCAACTTAGAATTGTGTAATACTCGTGAGTAAAAACACACTCATTAATTCCAATTTGAAATCGAATTGGACCGATTGGGATTGTCAGTTTTGAGGAGGGTTTCCATTGAAAATCAATTTTTTAAAACTTGACCAATGAAATGAGGTTTTTGGGTTGATCAAAGTAAACCAGCTAATCAAATAAACTTCCCTTCAAACCCTATTCTATTTGATGGTTAGAATCTATTAAGAGGGTAATTTGTCCACCCTCATATATAAAACATGTCACTCTGGATTTGTATTATTCCTAAGAATAGTTTTTCTTTAGGTTATGGATAAGATCTTTAAACAATAAAGAGTAAACAAAGTGAATCATAATCTCTCGCTCCAAACACCAAAGCTCTTTCTTCAAGAAGAAGTCCTTAATTAATGACTGAGCAACCAAACGGGAGCAAGTTAAAAATTCTGAAACAAATCTCAACATTTATGTCAACAAAATTACATTGGTGGTCTAGATCTTATTGTTCGAGTAACGTTTTAGTCCTTAATTTTCGAAAGGAGCAAGTTTGTTCTCAATAATTAATTTATAGTTGCACAATCAATTCTTAACTATAAAAAATTTCTAATCTTAATTAAATCGTCACGTCTTGAACCCGAAGGAAACACGAATAACTTCAAATTTCTAAGGATGTAGCTTTATAAACTTTGACGCATGAGATGGTTTATAGTGTTGAGGACTAATTATGCATTTATAATATAAGACTACGGATCAAATCGTTATTCTTTAAAAATTGGGATTAAGTTGCTGTTGGAACAATAAGTTGAGAACCAACAGTGTAAAAAAATGTTCCTTACTATTTATACCCTCGAACTATATGTGGCAGAGATTTAAAATGTGAAAATTGGATAAAAAATTAATGGCCCTCTCGTAAGTAATAAATGACCATTTAATTAACAAACTACCTTATCTATTACTACTTGCGTAGCGACTGTACCACGTTATTTCTTGTCACCTATATTTTTGAGTTCATTAATTGTACAAACTAAATTCTTCATCCCTTATTTATCTCAGTATTTACCTTTTGCTATTGGGGACAAGAATCGACCTACCAAAAAATTAATTAATAACAATAATAAATAGTGTCGTGATTATATAATGGCTGCAACTGCTTTTATATACATTTGGAAGTAAATAGATTTGAATGATTGTGGATTGGAATTTATAAATGATAAATCAATGTGATATTATGACAATTAGATGAATAATTAAATTATTCCAAGCGTGTAGACGGTAATAGAGTCAATGTTTTACGATAATGTTATCCATCACTATTTGCAGAGTGTGACCACCAATACTAAGGTTGAAAGTTATTTGTGCAGTTTATCTCTCATGTGTGGTTTGCGGGCTACTGCACACGTAGCGGGGTTTACCTAGTGCGCACTCACAGTGGTAGAGCATTCGCTGACGGGTAGCGGCTGCGGGTTCCTACGTTAAAAAAAAAAGTCACTTGTGACAAATATCGTTATTTGTCTAAAGGACTGTGAATGCGTCATTTTTCAATATAAAGTCCGAGCCATATTTGTTCAAATTTGTTAATTCTAATTATAGATTTGATCAAAGGGCATAACAAGCCCTGTCAACCGTTGGCTGGCATCTCACTCTATTGAGGAATTCAGTTTGGCTTCAATTGAGCAATTTCATAAATCAAAGCACCGGATGGAATGTTCCTCCTTTCCAAACTTGCTCGCTTTGCTATTTTTAGGCTCTGAAATCGATGTTGTTGACTGTCTTTGGAATATTTTTTTGATCTAGATGAGCCAAACCAGTGTTTTGTGAGGTTCCTTGACTTCCATTTCAATCTTAAGAAAAAGACAGCTATGCCTTAAAGCCTTTCACTTGAGCTTCCTGTCTTGAATACAGTCTATCACCCCTAATAAGGTGAACCGGAATAACAACATTCGGAACATCTTCCGTTTCCCAATTGGACGCTAACATTTTATATGATAGGAGTTGTCGATGTATTGGGTGCTGCTTTGCTATGCGCTATTCATGATGTTACTTTAGAAAATTAATCTTTTAAATGTAATTTATGGCGGATAAATTAATGCCACCATTATGCTAGGTCAATTATTTTGTAGAGGTTAAGTCTTTTTGAGAAGGGCCAATTTTTGTATTAACAGATGAAAAGTGACCAACTATATACTATTGGATTAATCTATGTATATATAGGCGTGTACATAGGAGTTGACATAATGTGGGTGGGGTGGGCCATGCTACCCCATCCCACCCCACTCACATAATGTCAACTCCTATATACACATAGCATGACTCATATACCATTAGAAAGAGCAATCGCAATCACACCATGATTATCATGAATTACAAATCTAGCCCCCATATCTCAGTCTCCGGATTGCTGCGCATAGTGGTGGCAATCGAGCCGAGCGGCTCGCCAGCTCGACCGCTCGGCTCATACTGTAGTGACCCATGAACCACTCGGGCTCGTCGTCGAGCGGGCCGCTCGCTAGACTAGCCGAGCCGAGCCCGAGCTCGGCTCGTTAAGGAGACGAGCGCTCGCGGGCTCGTGAAAAACCCATTAAAAAATAATAAAAAGTTAAGAAAAGCTTTAAAAAAAATTAAAAAGCCACGAGCCGAGCCGGCTCGGCCCATTGACATCACTAGCTGCGCAGTCTCCATTGTCACACATTGTCCTTTATGACTCTACATTGATTCAATCCTACCCAAGTAGTAAAGACATCCAACTAATATTCCGTTGTGCATACTGTTTGATTAGATAAATGAATAGTTATACTGGTAGCTTGACATTAATTTCTAGTAAAAGGTTTATACATTAAAGGTTGAGCTGAAAATGCATTTTAAAATAGAATTTTAATGAAGAATATGTGATTAAAAAATAAGAAAAAAAAAATTTGAATTTGCGTTAAATATTATTTTATTGAATAATGTGTATTTGAAAATAAGATAGAGAAAAATATATTTTGAAAATAATGGAAATCAAACAATGGCTTAGTAAACTCCTGTTCGGTATAGATTAAAATCAGATTCTTAATATATTTTAATAAAAATTGAGAAAATATATGATTGAAAAATTGTGTATCTCATAAAATTTTTGATTAAAATTAATTACTGACTTTGACTCAAGATTGAAATTTGATTTTAATCAATATGAAAGGGATAAATTGTTATCACCAAAAATACACGAAGAATTTAAAAAAAAAAATTATGTTATATTCAAATCATTTAACCCCAGTTTTGCCTCTATTATTTGAAATTTTAATGTTTGAAATAATATTTTTTTGAAAATGTATGTTTAAAAAAGAAGAATTTTTTTTTGAAATTATGTGTATTATTATTTTATTGAATAATGTGTTGTTAACCGAAGAGGAAGGAAAATAAATTATAACCAAGCAAGGTTTAATTATGTCAGCAATATAGGCCGTAGACTAGACTTTGGACCTCTCTATAATCTAGAGGGTTTGGTGCCAGCGATGGTTGTAGGACGAAAGAGCGCTCTTCTCTTATCTGAGGTCAAGGCTGGCATTTGTTGTTTAAAATCCCATTCTTCCTTCTCATCTCTCCTATTGACTCCTTCCCCCTCTCTCTCTATCCTGCAAATTTTCTATTTTTGTAAGGGGGAAATTGAGGTGTTCCATATATACTACAAAACGCAGAAAGAGGCAGCAAGAGAGCTGGTTAATGGTTGAATCTTCTTGCCTACTTTCCATGGCTTCACCGTCGTCTCTTGCCGGTGGAGAGAAGAAGCACTGGTGGCTCACCAATAAAAAGGTCTTTTTTTTTTTTTCGAAATTTTCTAACCCGTTAAAGTAAATAGCTTGTATTCATTTGTATATGTAATAATATTGAAAATGTAATGCAGATAGTGGAGAGGTATGTGAGGGATGCGAAAATGCTGATTGCGACGGAGGAACAAAGAGAGACGGTGGCGGCATTACGCCTACTTGAAGCGGCGTTGGCTATTTCGTCGCGTATGGAGGTGGCGTTGGAGCTCAAAGCAAGGTGTTTGCTTTCTCTGCGGCGGTTCAACGATGTTGCTGATATGTTGCAGGATTATATTCCTAGCCTTAAGATGAGCTCTGATGAGGAATCGTTAACTGGGTCATCGGATAGTTCGTCAACTCAGTTGTCGAGAGAACGACTGAAACTTCTCTCCGGCAATGGTGACTCACTGGGTCAAAATGAACCAGCGTTTAAGTGCTTTTCTGTCTCGGATTTGAAGAAGAAAGTTATGACCGGACTCTGTAAAAACGTCGACAAAGAAGGCCAATGGAGGTAATTTATTTTTTTGCGGGTTTGCTTGTAGATTACGCGAAACAACTGCAGCAAATAGTAAAATTTTAGATAAACTAAGTTTAATCACATTAAAAAGTTAAAATTTATTAATAAATTTGAAAATGCTCAGTCTGTTATCTAAATTTACCGTACAGATACTTGGTTTTGGGTCAAGCTTGTTGCCACCTAGGCTTAATGGAAGACGCAATGGTGCTGCTTCAGACCGGAAAACGCATCGCCACAGCAGCGTTCCGCCGGGAAAGCATTTGCTGGTCGGACGACAGTTTTTCCTTCAACAGATCTCCACTCTCCGGCGAAGCATCAATCAATCATCTACAACCCTCAACGCCTCCAAAAACAGAGTCTGAGAGCATTTCCCAGCTTCTCAGCCACATCAAGCTCCTAATCCGCCGTAAGACCGCCGCAATGGCCGCCCTGGATGCCGGGCTTTATTCTGAAGCCATTAGACATTTTTCGAAAATTGTCGATGGCCGCTATGGAGCCCCGCAGGGATTCTTGGCCGAGTGCTTCGTGCACCGGGCCTCAGCATATCAATCAGCAGGCAGAACATCAGAGGCAATTGCGGATTGCAATAGAACCTTAGCACTGAACCCTTCTTGCATCCGGGCTCTTACTGTCAGAGCAGCCTTATTTGAAACCATAAGATGTTTGCCTGATAGTCTCCACGATCTAGAGCATTTGAAACTCTTGTACAACTCGATTCTACGCGATCAAAAAATGCCCGGACCAGTATGGAAGCGTCAGAACATTCAGTACCGGGAAATTCCAGGAAAACTCTGTTCATTAGCTGCGAAAATTCAGCAATTGAAGCAAAGGGTTGCTGCTGGCGAAACTGGGAATGTAGACTATTATGCTTTGATTGGATTAAGACGAGGTTGTTCAAGATCAGAACTCGAAAGAGCGCATTTGTTGTTGACACTTAGACACAAGCCTGATAAATCTTCCAGTTTCATTGATAGGTGTGAATTTGCAGATGATAGGGATATAGAATCAATTAGGGATCGAGCAAAAATGTCTGCTTTGCTTTTGTATAGATTGATTCAAAAGGGTTATACTAGTGTAATGGGGACGATTTTGGATGATGAGGCGACTGAAAAGCAAAGAGAGAAGGCAACCACCGCGTTACAGGCTGCAATGCAAGGTCAACAGGCTCAAGAACAATCCTCCACCAGAATCGAATCCATCTTAGATGGTAATCATCGGACTGAGAACAATGCAGCCATTACAACCTCGACACCATCGGTGTTTCAAGGAGTTTTCTGCAGGGACCTTTCTGTGGTGGGCACATTGCTTTCTCAGGCGGGATTTAATCGACCAATGCCAGTGAAATACGAAGCATTAAGCTGCTGATAATGGTGATTATTGAGATGATTTCCGAATAATTTGGACTTAAAAGCTGTATGGAAAGGCTGATCAGATGTTAATATGGCGGAGGGAATCGGATTCTTGTGAAATTCCATGATTTCGTACCGAGTTTTGGAAAATCATTTTGCTAATATTTTATTTTCTTCTTTTATGGTACCAGTACAGTTTTTAATATCAATTTCAACTTAAATTAGATTTGTGTCGTGTTCTTTCACAATGACTGGAAATGGGATTTCACTGAGAAGGGGTAGTTAATATGAGCACATAAGAAAAGATCTTTTGGTTTCTTACTATTTACTGTTCCTTATCCAATTATGCTAAAACCTGACACTACAGATTCTCATTTACACTAAATTTTTTGCCTCATGACCGCAAATGTTACTTGGGATCATTTAATGCAACTTACTGTTCGCATCTACCCATCCCTATCTGGAGGAATCCAATGGTATTTTGTAACATTCGAGTAGAGGTCCTCCCTCCATCTTTAGTAAGTGGTCCTCCGACTCAGTGTGCGCAATTTCAAGAAAATGTCCTATATTTGAAGGTATTTTTATGGGGTTGGGCACCTCAACCTCTCTCGAACTAGATGTATGTATTTGAATGGTTCTAAGCCACTCTTGTAGATGTTTCGACGATTGATTATGAACTTCAACCCATTTAAATATGTAAATTTGAGTTCCGACATTATGAAAGTATTCAATTTCGCGCACAGCTTTTAGTTAATGGGAGATAAATGTTACGTGGCTTTAGCTGTAAGTCATATAAAAGTCGAGTACAAGATTTCAGTCTGAAACTGAAATTCATCAATTTAAATGAAAATAGAATTCAGAAATTGAGAAAAGCTGTGCAGAAGATTTTTACTTTTACTAACGGGTAATTAGTGACTGACTGACTGGTACGGCTTTTCACTTTTCATAAAGTTTTGTATTTTTCAGTCACTGATAATTATAATTCCAAGGTTAAAAATGATCAATTGAAGCATGTACCCACCAGATGTTACATTTGTAATCATTTAAGGACAACAAACCCCAGAATGCAAATTTTATTCAACTTTACCACTAAAGTTAAGAATGAAAACCTGATCATAGCATTATTCTTTTTTAGATAATAGTGAATTTTCAATATTGATATTCTAAAATAAACAAAACTTTTGAGTTTGAAGATCGAAACTCCATCTCGCTATGACAAAACATAAAAACAATATTCAACATGGTCATGGACGGAGTTAGAATTTTAAAGTTGTGAAGACAAATTTCACAAAATTTAAATTAAAATTGAAAACTATCAAAGAATTTTTTAAAAAAATTATGTAAAATCTTGAAAAATTTTGGAGCTACATGTCCATCAATTGACAACAAATGAAACTTTTGAATTTTAACCATATGCAAATTGATTTTATTTAACTAGAGAAGTACAAACAAGTCAAATAACTAAAAATGGATCATGCTACATGTACCGAATCTTTTACGTACTGTTCACAATGAAGATGAGGACCACATTGTTGAAATTTTTAAATACACTGACTTGCGCTGGCTTTTGTGGAATTCGGAGAAGAACAAAACTTTGATCTGCTAAATTTTTTAATTTTCCCAACACACTTCCACTACTTTTACCAGTATTTTTTTATTTTGTGACTTACCTTGGAAGGGAGTTTTGATTCTCCATTTATTTTTCTTGATAAAAATAAAAGTATTCCACACTAATCAACAAAACCAATGATTCCCCCACTCCACCCTTTCAAAAATATATGGTTTTGGTTTTGTGGTTGAATCCCATCTCTCAAAATATCACGTTAACACCTAAATTCTTTTAAAGTCTCGTCTCGATATATCTATTTTATCAATGACAACATCGAAAACTCTTGTACGTGAATTATAGCTTTTTATATTCAGAATTACACGAGATTTTAATTCTTGATGACTTATATAATAAAATACCAAATTAAGATCAAACTGCTTATTTCATGATCGACCATCTTTAAAAATACTTGTTCAAGCATGCAATAAAAAATGAATTTATATCACATTTATTCTTTAAATTTCTCTCTGTAATATCCAAATAATATTTTTTTTCCATTTCCCGAGCGACTTTGTACTACTGGCTGGTGTAATGAGATGGCGACATTACTTGCAAATGTCAATAAGATTTGAGGCCCAACAACGTGATCTTATAATGACTAATCATATGTTTAATTGCTATTCACTGTTCAGATTGCAAAAAGAGAGAGAAATATATAAAAGGTCACCAAAAGTTACGTCTGCAAAAAACGAGAGTGACCCGTAAGGAATCAATTGTACAAGGTGAAAAGGAACTTGCTCAATTATTTTCACAAGAATCTATTCAAAGGGTGAATATAACGTCAATTCATTGTGCCGACTCAAGTGCTACATTAGTACGGACAAAGGATCGAAAGACTGAGCTAACCCTAAAATTCCATCGTCAATTTGGATAGTAGACGATAACTTGTCTTATAGTTTCTAGTCGCCCATATTAAGTCCGCATAAGATGAAGGGATTGAAAGGACCTGCAAAAAGAGTACGGAGCTAACCCTAAAACTTCATCCTCAAAACTAAAATATGAGTCTAGAGATTCTAGTAGTTAGTGTGGAGGAACATCCAACCCCTTATGTTTTCGACGATTAATATGGGCAAAGCATCTCAAGGGTGAGTTAGCCTCTGTTTGAGGCTCATTATTTTGGGCAAAAGAATGAGAATTTCAGTCGTTGGAGTCAAAGCCGGGCCCCACAAAAGACTTGAAAAGTTAACAATTTTCAGATGATTTGATGGTTAACGGTTCATTATTTTGGGCAAATAATTAGCCCCAAACAGGGGCTTAATCCTAAAACTACGTCGTCAGTTTGGATTCATTGAAATGGAAATTGGTATCAGTTGTCGCCAAATGGAAAAGCGTGACTTCACTTCTTGGAGTGTCAATCAAATAAAGTAATTAAAGCCAAATGGAAATGTTCAATGGTTATTCTGACAAACTAAAATTTTAAATTTGTTGTTATTATAAATTATCATAAAAACAATCATTTCTTATTTTCTTGTGGCTAAAGAAAAGGGTTGTTCGTTCACAAGTTTCACTTTTTGTTGTGAAGACTTCATTGTGAGTACTCTTTCTTGTTTGAAAAGATTTTTTTTTTTTTTTTTAAGTTGGTCAAACTTCAATTTTTAATACATATTTTATTGAATCCACAATTTTTATTCATAAATTTAGAATCTTCACAAACTTAAAATATCCAATAACTTTGTCGAACAGCACGAAGACATGTCCCACTAAAATGAAATGTCCAGCTTGAAAAGTTACGTTTTTTTTTTTTGGAAGCATCAAATGTAAATATTGTACATTTTAACTCATGCACACATTATATTTATTATTACAACCATGGACCGAAACAGTTTAAACTCAACACGAAAAAAAAAAAGGAAAATGAATTTTTGTCGTTAATAGCTCATGTTAGTGCTATTGTTGTCATTCTTTCCATATAAAACAGAACAATTTCGACTTGTACTTCCTTTGGGCTTCTAGCCCGTGGACTAGTTACAAAGCAGGTCCGATCATGCTCCAAAATCTAATCGTAGCCCATTTATCATCCGACCCAAAAAAATTTAACAGATTTGAAATTGGGAAAATTAGGCAGGCCAATGTATTTAACTTTGGTACATAATCCGCTTTCAAAACTGTTCTTTCCACACCTCCATTCATGCAAATTAATATACATTACAACCATTGACCATTCAATATTAGCACCAATAAAATATATATATGAGGATACATTATCGATTTATTAATCAAAATGATATCTTGTACACTAGGAACGATTATTCACTAAGCCACACACCAGCAAATATAATACTCATACAAAGAGGACTAATAAGCTTTATGTATAAAACTGGTTTATGCATTGGACTAGAACTGCACACCCCAACAAAGGGTAATAAAAAGTGTCAAAGAACTAATATTAGTTCTTAGATTTGTAGGGCCTTTTTCTAGGACTCTTTCTAATACTTGCTCTCTTCTTTCTACACTCTGTGCAAAACCAGTCCTCCTCTGGAACATCTTCTAGTGGAGGATCACAGCAATCAATATGGGTACCAATGCCACACCCAGCCGAACCACTATCGTCACCACAAATAAGCATTTCATCGCCTCGATCACAAGACCCACACACAGTACATGCTAAATCATCATTTTCAGGTGTTCTCACATCCTCAACGACCTCTTCCATGCAATTTACTAGGTTGTTGAGTGACTTCTCAGCCCAAGCATGGGTATTATATTGTACATGCCGTTCTAGGGAATAACCGGGCTTGCAGACATACTCTACCAAATAGTCGGCTACTACACAAGGTATTTCATGTCTTAGGAACTCCTGAACCCACATATCTATACGTGGAATGCCGGGACTAACAATGGCAAAATCGACCTTTGATTTGAGAAAGCGCGTGTAAGGGGGTGAAGTTGCCAATATGGTCCCATCTCCAGCCTTCACAACACGTTTCAAAGTGTCCTGATTGGTGACAAGCATATTAAAACTTATTTGTAAAGAAAAAAACAGAGGAAAAGAAGTAACAGCATACTACCATTGTGCTTTATCAAGTAAAGAAAGTCAAATGAAGAACTAAAATCAATCAACTTGAACATAAAAAGTCCAGAAGTCAGCATGGTCAATCGACAACATACCAAAGGAGGGGCTATGCATTCTCCATATATGATGATATGCATTCCATAAAATGCACCATGACCAGTTCTCTCCCTCAAGAGACGCCACTTCCTTGGAGCCTCTAAGTTGATTGCACCATCTTCACTCAAGCATTTCTCGTGCCATTCGTATGGCTCCTCTGCCAAAAACCTTCCAGCCTCATTGCTAGCCGTTAAGTAATCCGTCTTCAGAATCCAACTGCAAAATCAATTTACTTAAAGACAGTCACGAACTAAATCAACAATGAGCAGATTTAAGAGCATTGCTTAATATAGGATATACCTTCCAGATGCCGCAGCAGCAAAAAGCTTTTCAGTTCTTCTTATAGGGTCGGGAACAAGGAAATGTGTAGCCTGATATGACCACTGGTGAGAATCTCTGCATACTCGTCCTTTCAAATGCCTTAAAACCTGCCGAAACTTCTTCCTTTGTAGCTTATGCCCACTCAATATAAAACATGCAGGTTCACTATTCGCCTTTACGACTGAATCTGAGTGAGCTATGTTCATCCCACTTTTCAGAGGCTTTTTAGAAGATCCAAGCGCCAATTCCCCAGCTGCTTTTGTATCCATGCTCACATTTTGACCCCCAACAGTAACAGTTTCATTTTCCTTCTCTACATTTATAGAGCATTTTAACTTCTTGGATGGTCTTGCCTTGGTTTTATCAATCAAGGAGATAGTTTCTTCATCATCTGCCTGTGTCTTCTCTACATTCTGTTTGGTGTTGGATCCATCCTTCTGAGCATCATCCTGAAGACTCTCCAACATTTCTGTCATTAAAGACGCCTTATTCTTAGTTTTAGTTAAACTATGCTTCTTTCTCTTGGTTACTTTTCCCTCTCTAGCATCCTCTACAGATCTTGATTCACTCAATCCAGTTTTCTTGCCACCAAAAGAGTTATTAATTTCAGCGTCATTTTCATTTGCCCCAGATTTTGCATCCATTTTCAGTGTTCTTGCCTTGGTTTTATCAGCCAAAGAAATAGTTTCTTTGTCATCAGCCTCTTTCTTCTCTTCATCCTGTTTGGTATTGGATCCATCCTTCTGAGCATCCTCCGGATGTCTCTCCAACTTGTTTGTCGTTAAAGATGCCTTAGTCTTACTTTTAGTTAAACTTTGCTTCTTTCCTTCGGTTACTTTTCTCTCTCCAGCATCCTTTACAAGTGTTGATTCACTCAATCCAGTTGTCTTGCCACAAACAGACTTATTAACTTCAGTGCCACAAATAGTTTCTTTGTCATCTGCCTCTGTCTTCTCTTCATCCTGTTTGGTGTTGGATCCATCCTTCTGAGCATCCTCCTGAGGATTCTCCAATTTTTCCATTGCTAAAGATGCCTTAGTCTTAGTTTTAGTTAAACTATGCTTCTTTCCCCTGGTTACTTTTCTCTCTCCAGCATCCTTTGCAGGTCTTGATTTGCTCAATCCAGTTTTGTTGTCACAAACGGCCTTATTAACTTCAGTGTCATTTTCATTTGCCCCAGATTTTGCATCCTTTTTCTTCACTCCTTTAACGGTTCCATCAGCTCGCTTGGCTACATCAGTAACATCTACCCTTTCATCTGCACGCACATTTTCTGAATGAGGAACTTCAACTCCAGTAGACCTCTGTTTGTCACCTGCCACATCAAATTCACGTTCCTCATTGTCCTCTGGAGCTTCAGTTTCATCATCCACATGTCCATCTTTATCAGTACAAGCTATCTGAACCTTCTCAGTACTAGCAACTTTCTCATAGCCTTCCTTTGATACCGCTCCGATTGAATACCTTGCAGAATCATTCGGTGAGACGACTTTATTAAGGCTGATAGAACCTTTAGGTTTCGTTATGTTTCCTTTACTGATACTCGATCTAGAACCAGATGTCTTTTTCGCGAGCATCTTTCTCCCAAGTAATTTTGATAGAGGGCCAGTATGTCCTTCCTTTGGAAAGTCCAAATCAACCTGGACATTGATTTTTTCCACATCTGATACATTAGCTCTAGAAGATGATTGTTCAATATTTTGTAGATTACTTTGCTGCATCTCAACTACATCAGTGGATCTTTCTGTTCTGCTCGAACAAAGGTCTTTTGCATCCAAATTGCAGGACAAGCCCCTCATTTCCAATCCCTTGCAAGTATGTTGCATCGGTTTCTCGCTGCATTCTTGCCTAGCCCCTGATATGGCAATTCTATAAATGTTAACAGCTTCCATAGGGTTCAAATCAGCTTCCTCACCCAAATTATGTACAGGAGAAATATGACCAGCCAACGCATGTGAATTACCAACCAAAGATTCAGACACCAACCCTTCTGTTCTCTTTGCCAACGATTCATATCCCACTACCATTTTTGGATCATTGCTCATCTTTACTGATTTGGAACTACCATCCAAGACTGTCATTTCCCTCTTCTCAGGCAACGTTGTAGTTTGCTCCCAGTCAAGGAACAATGCAGGTCTCTTTGAAGGTATTTTTACTCTATCAAAACCAGCTCCATCCTGGTGCTTCTCCAAGTAGGACATGTTAAAACCACTACTCGCTCTAAGTTCATCTGCATTCGAGGTAGAAGTATTTCCTGCATTACTTCCAATTCTTTCAGAGAATAGCAGGAGACTAGGCTTCCCTGAAGTTTTCCTGGAATAACTATTCTCACTTAATTTTGACACGACAGTATTAGGAGACCTTTTAGCACTTTTAGATGAGGAAGCCAAGTCATTTTCAAGTTTTTCAAGAAACCTTGTACCCGATGGCACATCAGAGGATATCTTTCCAGGACTTCTGGCACTGCAAGGGCCTAGCATTTCAAGATGCTTATTACGAGTTTCTTTAGAAAACAAAGATTGATCAAAGTTCACCTCCTTTCCAAGAGTAGATTGGACCTCATTGCTGTTGCCAATATTTGTCAAACTTTTAGATGCACTTAAATTTAAGCTGTTTCTTGAGACTTCCTGCTTCACTACTGACTCATAAGGACTTTTCATCTCTGTTTGTGTATTCAGAGCACTGCCAACCTTTCTTTCTGCATCTTTCATAGTAGCCATGTCTTCTGTCTCTTCATCAGAATCCTTGGCTTCAGCTTCCATCATCTCCAATTCATACCCACTGCATGAGGGAAAAAAAATTAAGTCATGTTTCAAAATTTTTATTAAGGAAAAATGGACTTAAATCTTAAGACCATCACTGCCAAAAGAAGAAATGGAATCCAATTGCTAGAAATAACAGCTACGTGCAGCATATTGAAAAATAGAACTCTACCATGTCTCGAGAAAAAACAAAGTTGTAACTTACCTCTTATCATATTCATCTTCAGGAAGAAGTTCCCAAGTCCTCAAACTGAAAAATACATAAAAGAGATAATTGATACTAGAACAAAAAAAACAATAATGGATAACAGAAGAAAGGAAAAAGAGCTTAAAGCATTTACATGTAGCAGAGTGGCAGAATGAAATAACTACATTTATAGTTGATATACAAACTAGAAAATATCCAAATAACATCAACGGCTTGAAGATTAGATCGGGCATACCAATCTTCCAACCAACGATGGTTAACAAGCTTTATCTTCTTCATTTTCTTGGCAAGCTGATATTTCTCCCCTATTCAATAAACAATTTTCTATTTAAATCCAATGTTACCAGAATACTTCATCAATCAAAATAAAACTATAGATGTTTACAAATATGAGTATAGCATTCAAATACAATTAATGGCTCCAAAAAATATTTGCGTGTTTTTCAATTTGTCCACTGATGATCGATGCAAAGGCATACACAAGCAGAGAAAGACGTGCTAGATGAAAGGCAGTAAAAGGGGAGCCCAGCATATGGAAATTATAGAGTGAGCAACATAAACACAGTACATCTAGCAGAGAGAAATAGAAGTATAGTGACAAACAAGTGCAATTCATAGCTCTCATCCAAGCAGATTGAAAAACGTTGATTTTCTTTAGAAACACTGGGGTTCCAGCAAGAAAGCAGACTCGGATAGGTGAAATGCTGATTAAGTGATAAAAGAGTTTATTAACTAACAACTAGCTGCATAAGAAATTTTATCCTGATAAATGAAAACTAAAAAAAAAATTCGAAGTATCAAAATTTGAACATGACACTATAAGGAAAAGAGTGGATATAACAATGTTATAAAAGTTGAAGCCAATACATCCTACACCATGGAACTGTATGGTTGAAACAACTTACCCTCAAATTTGTAGCATATCAGATGAGTAACCTTGTTAGCAACCAATGGCTTTGAAAAATTTGCACCCATCAAGCTGACCATGGTCTGTGTGGAAAAACAAGCCAGTAGTAACATCACATTACACAGAGCATATAGGGATCTATTTAAGATTCTAGCTATTCACTGGAACATACAAAATTATAATAGTATATTGTGTCTAATGAGTAGTGTGAGATAGAAGGTAGCTGCTAGAACCATGATGTCGTCTCGGTCCTGCCGTTGATATCCAGTCAAGCAAACAATCAGAGAATTGGCACCTGGAATCCCGTTCAAATCTCTTGGAGGCCTATACATGACCTGTAAGGAAACATGAATGTTAACTGTGTAAACTTCAAGGCAAGAGAAGAAAGTTGGGATCTTGAAGGTCGTTAACACTGAAAAGTTCGAAGCATTTGATATTTTTGACATAGCAAAAGAAAATTTTACTAAACAAAGAAACAGAAGCAACTCGCAAGAGTTGAGCAAAAAAAAAAAAAGTAAAAATGCTGATTCATGCTCTTCAAGAAGGCATCTTTATGCTCTAGCAAAGAAAACGAAACATTTTGTAAACTAACTATAACATTTAAAATATATAAGCGCGTGCATAGAGAAACTCACAGAGGTGGAATCGACAGGCATTCCCACATCAAAACTATGATCAATCCATAGGCAAGTCACCAACGTCTTCCCATTTCTACGTGCAGCAATGCATATGGGATCATCCTGTACCACAACACATCAAATCAGTTCTTCACTTGACCAATATAGTCAATTACAGGAAAAATAACTAATATCCACCTAATTATTCCTTTAGAGGGGTACAAAAGCGAAATGGCTTGTATATACAACATGCAGTTGAAGTAAAACTCTGTACTCACATAAATAAGCTTGTCAACAATCACGTGAGTGCAGTTCGGATCATAATTACCAGCATCAACCCCTCCACCTTCTAAAAGCTTCCGCCGAAACTGACAAAATTAAAAGGCGGTGTGAAATATCCATTTGACCCAAATAGAATGAAGAATATAATTGAAACCAGAGATAAAAATAAAAAAATTTAAAAGGAAAAACCATTCCACTGGAACCTCAAGAAACGTAAATATAGTCACCGAAAAACAAGAATTAGTTATTTGAATGGAAAGGCCCGAAATTTCGAAACCTTGTCTTTCTTAATGGAGTCGCATCCGAGGAGAACAAAGCACACACCGACAAAGGGCTGTGAGGGGTTATCGTAAACTAAATCTTGTTTGCCGTCCAACATTGAACTTCAAATTGGATTTTACAGGTGTGAAAATAGAAATGTGTAACTGAATTTCATTGCAGCGAAAAGGCTTTGCTTTCTGTATAACTGCAGACAGGGTGGGCTGCGGAATGTATAGCTTCTCGAGGAAGAATGGGAATGGTAAGGGTAAAATTGGGAATTTCGAGCAAAAGAAGGGATTTCTTTGCTGATTGGCGGGAGAAAATGAATTTTATGCAGCAACTCCTCGCACGTGTCACGTGTACGTTCTTCTTCGTCCTTTTGACTATTACCCCCTTTGAGTCCCGTTACTTTTTTTTCATTTTCATCTTTCTACTCATTTTTAACCATATATTCTTGAATAAAATAATATTTTCCATCACATCAATAAATTTTCCTTCTTTTTCAACCATATATTCTTCAATAAAATAATATTTTTCACCACATCAATAAATTTTCCTTCTTTTTCAACCACATATTCCTCACGTTACTTTTTTTCATTCTCATTCTTCTACTCATTTTCAACCACATATTTTTCAATAAAATAATATTTTCCATCACATCAATAAATTTTCCTTCTTTTTCAACCACATATTCACCATCATATAAAAAAATGTATTATTGGCTAAAAAATGTATACCAAACAGGGACTTAATTCATTTTGCCGGAAGAAATTAGGGGTCTGTTTGGTACGGCTCAAAATCCAATTAAAATTGAAAATATAGCCGTTATTGGGTCCCACTCATCTAATAAAAGTCAACAATAACGGCTAGTTTTTCAATTTTAATCCGATTTTAATCTCTACCAAACACCCTCTTAATCTTGTTNGACCTTATCGTTGTCAATTTAATGGATTGGATTTCTCAAATATAGGAATATGGGATCCCAAAATTAGTTTCCATTGGTATTTTCTCATAATAAAAACAAATTCAAATCTCCGTTTGATTGAAAGAGTGGAAAATTGATGGAAAGAAAACGAATTCCAAAGAAAATAATTGCTTAAAACTTATTTTTCAGTGAATTGTTAATTAAGTGTATTTGATTGGTATAATTTTCCACCCGAAAAATTTTAAAATTTTAAATCTTTTTGTATTCGTTTTACATGAAAATTGTCTATTTAAAGTGATAATTTTTTCACAATTGGTTATAAATTTTGTTTCAATTGCCGAAAAGTAAAAACAAAAAATAAAAAAATATATTTCCTAGAAAATCATTTTTTTATCGAAGTTTAGTATTCGTTTGGCTTTATTGTACATGAAAATTGTTCATTAAAGTAAAAAAAAAAAATTACAATTGTTTATGAAATTTGTTTCCATTGTCAAAAAAAATAATTAAAAATAATTTTAAAGAAAGCTGGAACTTCCATTTCCCGCGAAAAGGTGGGAAAAACAATTTAAACAAATCCAAGAAAACGACACATGAGGAGCCAATGTGGAAAACCAAATGCCAAGAAAATTATTGTCATCAAACACTACAAAACTTGAAAAAATTTCCATGGAAAAGGTGGTATATCAAACACGACCTTATATATACAAAAATCAGATACTAATTCAAATATTTAATATTATTAATACCACCAAAATTCATCTCAATCTCTAGTTACTCTCCCCCCTCATCTCTGTCTCTCTCTCTCACGCATCCCCCCTCTTTCTATCTTCCCATCGTTTCTCTATCTCTTTCTCACACATCACTCTCTCCCCCGTTGCTGCGTCGATCTGCTTCTCTTACAAAAACGCTGTCGCCGGCGGTGTGAAGCGCCACCATCGTCGTCCCGATAGTTGCGAAGACACCATCAACACTGTGCTCAAGACGCCACCATCGAGCAGCGTCGAAGCGCTACCACCGTCGCGCTACCGTTGCAAAGACACCACCGCCGCCGCCACTGCGCCCAAGACCCCACCATCGAGCGGCGTCGTTTTGAAGCAGCAACGCCGCTGCGAAGACGCTGCTGCAGCCCATCACTCCATAGCACTGCATTTCGATCTGCGCAATGCTGGGGGCTATGTTGACCGACAATGTCAAACGAATATTGTGGACTGTGATTTGTAGTTTGTGATGAGCACTGATGATGTTTGTAGCTTGTGGTTTCCGGCGATGAGCATCGCTGCTGTCGTTTTTCGGCTCGATTGTGTTGGTGCGGTTGGATATGTTGTGGTGTTTTTTTGGGGATGTGTTTGCTCATCCGGATGTTTTTTTTGTTAGGGGTGATGGTGGTGCATTCTGGCCATTGGTAAGGTGGTGTAGTGGATCTAACACTGTTGACGGAGTTGGTGGTAGATTGGCGATTGCTGTGATTTTTGTTGGATTTAGTGGTGGTTGATCTGGCGGTGACAATGATAGTTTTGTAGTTGAAAATGGTGGTCGAGAGATGGTGGTTCTGGCGGCAACGACGACGACAGAGATGGTGGTGCTAGAGTTGGTGGTCACAAATTATTCGGTTGATTGTGACCATTGAATTGGTTAATCTGTGACCAATAAATAATATGTGACCAATGGAATAGATAAATTTCGACCAAAAAATAATGTGTGACATAAAAAATTGTTAATTTGTACCGATAATTTGAAAATTTGTGACCGTCTAATAAGTTGTGATTTATAATATTCGTGATTTGTGGCCGTTAAATAAATTGTGGTAAGATAATTTGTGACACAAAATTTATGATTGAAAAATTGTGGCGTTTTGATTTGTTGTGACTTATAATATTTGTGATTTGTGATCGATTAATAAATTGTGACGTATAAATTTGTGATTTGTGAACGATGAACAAATTGTGACATATAAAATTTTTGAATTGTGGCTGTAAGATAATTTGTGACCGAAAAATAATTGTGACTAATTAAATCATTAATTTGTGACCAAATTTTATAAATTCGTGACATTAATATATCCCCCGTTTGATGTACATTATTATCTCATTAAAATGAAAAATATGACAGTTATTCATCACATCAACATTTAAATTCAGATTTTCTATCTGTTGTATAAACCCCAATAACGAATATATTTTTCATTTTCATTCTATAATAATTTGGCTCAAACATAACATTTAGGCCCTATTTGGTCCACATTATTTTTTTCATTCTCATTCTTCTACTCATTTTCAACCGCACATTTTTCAATAAAATAATATTTTTCAATTCTTCAATAACTTTTCTTTATCTTTCAACCACATATTCTCAATCACATCAACAGTAAAAATGCATTCTTACCTTCTAAATGTGAACCAAACGGGGGCTTAGTTATTCATTTGTCTTTTAAAGCCAAAAAATAATTATAATTTGGGCAATTATATTGAAACAACATGTTTTGTTAATTGAACCACACATTTCTATTGTAAGAAAGGGTCCTCGAATTTTTTGTTCATTTTGCTATATTCCCAACTTTCTCATTGTATTCTTATATTTAATTTTTAATTAATTAGCACGTATAATCTCTGATGACAGTTTCCTTCAAATATTTTGTAAAACACATTGTACAACATTTAGCCCCTGTCTGGTACACATTTTGAGTCAAAAAATACATTTTTTTTATGTGATAGAGAATATGTGGTTGAAAATGAAGGAAAAATTATTGATGTGATAAAAAATATTATTTTATTTAAGAATGTGTGGTTGAAAATAAGTAGGAGAATGAGAATAAAAAAAATAAATGCATTCTTATCTTCAAAATGTGTACCAAACGGGAGCTTAAATAAATTTGTGTCCAAGTAAAAAAGTTGAGAAATGCTATTTATCCCCACTGGGGATGCATCCACAGTCTATAATCTATATGACGTTAATGTGTCATTAAATAATATGTGAAATTAAATAAATTATTTAATTTCACCTATCATTTACAATCACATAGACTGGGGATGGATAGCATTTTTCAAAAAAGCTGACTGTGTTTAGCCTCTTCGTAAATTTTATTAGCCCAATCCTTAATTTTCCTTTCTAATTCGTACCCGACCCGATTCGGATGGAACTTCTCGAAGCAGTGGTTGGTGGGTAAATTAAGAAGGCAACTACGCTGTGAATTACGTACATTCCTCTCACCTCCATCTTTGATTCAGATAATTGAATCCGAAAACCTTGTACAAAAATGGCTTGGTTAACAAGATTTGTAACAGCACTGACGTTCTTGGCACTCGGGGTAATTTTTTCGCCGGAAACGTTCGGGTCAAAATCGGAGGGTCAGCATCCTCCGAGGCTCACCACTCTCTTGAAGCTGGCCCACCTCCTCTGTTTCTCCACTGCCTGGGGCGCCGCCTTCTGGGTCACTTTCATCGGCGGCATCATCATGTTCAAGTAGAACCCTTTTCAGCCGAAACCCCAATTTCTCTTTTTCTTCATTTTCCCAAATTTTAAAATTGATATGCTTTTCGATTAGGGAAAAATAAGGTAATTACTGTTGTAGAAAGTACATGAAATTATTGGGATGTCTCTTTATTTTGTAGGAATTTGCCGAGGCATCAATTTGGGAACTTGCAGAGTAAGATGTTTCCGGCTTACTTCTCGATGGTGGGTGTGTGCTGTGCAGTTGCAGTGGGGGCTTTTGGATACTTGCATCCTTGGAAAACCTCAGCAGCTGCCGAGAAGTACCAACTGGGATTCCTTCTCGCTGCATTTGCTTTCAATCTCAGCAATCTCATCATCTTTACGCCCATGACCATCGAGGTAAAAAAAAGATTGCCATTTCTTTCCTAATTTCACTCCAAGTTGTGTATAATGAAATTAATTGGCTTACCCTTATTTCATTCACAATCTATTTACCTCTTGTTAGTGCTGTTTTTATTATCTACACATGTTTTCACCTTAGTTTTCAACTGCAATCACTGCCCAAACTTTCTAGCTTAAGATCAACTTTTACCATCTGATCGAATGTTATACAGTTGCTTATGAGTAATTCAGTGACGTAAATGCTTATTTTACACATCCAATCAATAGTGATTGTGTGGTATTTTGAATATTTTAAGTTATTATCAATATTTTTATGGAAGCAAATCGGACATAGTAAAAAAAAAAAGGGAATTGACGAAAAACTATTGGTTTTGCGTGTTACTGGTGCTTTTGAAAAACTATTGGTGTTCGAGTATTACTAGTGCTTCTTCCCCTTTTTTTTTTTTTTTTGAGAAAAAAGGGATAACTGATATACATGTAGTTGTGTTATTATTTAAATCTACTGAACCTATCTAACAAGGCCATGGAAATGAGTAAAGAGATGAGCCATTGGTGGTGTGAGATAATCATCCATCTACTAAATTATCATGCCCAGGAATTATTCTTGTACTGAAAGAAACGGTGAGGTAGTCGTCCTGACTCAAGCAATTCTTTCTTCACATCAACAAATTGTTTGAATGCTGGCTTAATACTGCTCAAAATTCTCTACTGATACATCACCATTTTATTAACAAATGATATGATGTGTTTGATACCTAGCAGATGATGAAGGAAAGACATAAGGTAGAGAGAGAAGCGGAAATTGGGGATGAAATTGGATGGACTAAGAACCAGGAAGTTGCAAAGAAAAATCCAAAACTTGCTTCCATGAACAAGAAATTCGGAATGATTCATGGACTCTCTTCTCTTGCTAATATCATGTCATTTGGTAGCCTTGCTATGCATTCCTGGTACTTAGCAAGTAAGATCAATTTGTAGATCTAATCATACACTCCTGCGGATGGAGAGGATGTATCAAATCTGTTTTTGTTGTCTTTCACAGCTGACTTATATATGAATTAGCACGATACTGAGAATAAAAAGTTAAATAGCCAAATTGTTGTTCTTTCAATCATGGAGTTCAAATTTCTTCTGGTATGTATACCATAAAAATGAGTTGCTTGTATCATTTGCCATTATTTAACTTTGCTGCACACCACCCCCTTTCTTTTCTCCCCTTTATTCCTCTCTTATTGAAGTGACAGAATGCATTATAGATTTTGTTTTAGAACGGTTGAATTTGTGGTGTCCCGAGTTATCGTTACTTAGCATGTGTGGTAGGGAGGATTGTGTAGTACTAGTATTTAAGACGAAAAAGAAGGTAAAACTTGTTTATTATACTACATCTGCATAACGAACATGCTCAGCGGATAATGCAAAGAGATGTTGGTGATGGGTTGCTTGAGAAGTACTGATTTCCCTTTTAAATGTATAGAGCTCAAATTAGACGGGACTTATATTGAATTGCATAGGTATATTTCTTATTATAAACTAGAGGGTAAATATTATTTTCATAACAAGTTCATAGTACGCAATAATTGCCCTTTTATTATTTGGCAAACAATAGATGATCAATTTTCTCAAGTTCATATACTAATTATTAAGAGAAGAGATGCGTCGAGATTGTTGATCAATGACTCCAGCAGTCGAAGGGCTTTGTTCCAGGACGACTTCATAACCATCGCTCCAGTTTTCCATTCCCTGAGCCATTATTTGCCAAAACAGGGCACCACCACATGGACCTCCGCTTCTTGCACAACTATAGATTTCACCGAATATATTCCCGAAGTAGGAGTCCCGAGCAGCAACACTGTAGCCCCCCGATCTTGAAGACTTCCCGAACTCAGTCAACATGATGGGTTTCCGGAGTACTGATTTCGAGTCTTCTATATGTGATTGGAGCCATTTCTCTACGAACTCAGCTTGAGCCTGTTCGTTTGAGCCAGATACCCTGTCATTTAGCCATGTAGACAAATGTATATATCATTGTTAGCAATACTACTATTGAATAATACTGGTTGGTACTACTCACATAGAGATTATTACCATTGATCAGGGTATAGATGGATTGTAGCAAAATCGACGTTGGCAATACGATTGTTAGAAATGAAGTCGGTGCCAACTTGGTAACCAGGATTGAATTGTTTCCTATCAGAGATTGATTCTCCATAAAATCCTTCAAGCCCAACTTCTAAAAGATGATTCTTGTCCATGGATTTGACATAAGCCGACATTTCCTCGACCCAATCCTGTAAGAGATTCGAGATTATAACTTTAAAAGTCACGTTAGACAAACTAAGGCCCTGTTTGTCATCCTTTAAAAAATTAAATTGTTTGTTATAGTATCATTTCTACGCCATACATTCACTCAATAAAATATTCCACACATAAACCAATAAAGTTTCCTTACTTTTTAACCACATATCCTCCAAAAAATATTATTCCATAACTCATTATTTCCAAATAAATTCTATCAAATATGCACTAAATTTACCTGAAGAGGTTTTCCAGAGAGGTTGGATTGACAACGGGGTTCATTCATTAGCTCCCATGCAAATATGGTAGGATCATCTTTATATGCCACGCCAGTTATGGAATTGACTCTCGTGACCACGGACTGCAGATTGGAATACATAATTTTAAGAAAATTATACGTTCAATATGGTTTCAGTAAAAGAAGCTATATATTTGTAGAAACCTTGATATGGTTTTTATAGTAGCCTTTAATAACAGAGTTACTGAAAAAGTCGTCTTCGTTGTTCACGTATTGGCCCTTGTCTCTTGCCCATTGAACATACTGTCTTTTCCCTCCAAAACCTTCCCAATTGTTAACAAAGGTTAGTATCAAATAAACTCCATGTTTCTTGGCCTCCGACAACACAAAATCCAGCCCCTGCAAGTGAGTTTATAAACACGTTAGATACCTCTTTGCAAGCCAGGTGAAAACCTAAACAAAGTCTACCTTAAACATTTCCTCGTTGTAGACCCCAGGAGACACCTGCAAGGGTCTATAACCACCATCACTAAAAGCCCAAGTTCTTGCGACGTTCATCCCATGCTTGGAAGCTTGTTCGAAGGTAGTGGTCACCATGTTCTTTGTAGAGGGATCGGCAGCCTGGTACATCAACCAGTAAGCATTGAAACCATTGAAATACGATGGCCTCCCATCCAACACAAAATGAGTTCCCTTTGTTTGAACAAAACCATGCCACGGAGGATAGGTTCTTGCATCGCTATAGCACTCTTGAAAGGCAACCAAAATGGCTGCTAAAACGAAACTAATAAACACGCTTTTTGTCAACATTGTGTGTGTATTTTCTTCTTCCTTTGTTTTGTTGCTTGATGAAATGATCAAATGGCGAAGTGTATATATAGGTGAGGAGGAGGATGGGTGATTACGTGCCGATGAAGCTTCTTAATTGGATTCTAACAGAACCATTTTCATGGGAGATGGGAAAAGATTAGTCAGTTGAAGAGTTCATGGGAATACTAAGAATTCTTTAGATGCCCACCCCACTCACATTATGTTAATCCCTACGTACACACCTATCACCTATGTACACGTAGCATGACCCATGTTTTAAATACTCCATAGTGACACCTTAATAGCAATCTGATGAGGAAAATGTGTAATCCGATTAATCATATAAATCTATCGTAACAAACTACTACATAATTCATTATTAATTTCATATTATTTATGAGTTAAGTAATTTATTACATAAACGATTACAGAAACTTAATTTTTACTATGTATATGGATTCAATTTATTCAAAGTCAAAACATTTATAATTACTACTCATTATTATTCACAATTTTTCTTATTATTTCTATATATAAATCATTTATAAACTTGCTAAATACTTGCAATCTAAAAAATTTCTTAGAGCATCTCCAATAAACTTTTTATTTTAAAATAGCATATTCTATCATTTAGAGAACGTCTATAAATTTAGAGAGTTAAAATTTTGAAATACTCCAACAAGCTATTTATATGTTAACTTAATTTGATTACTCCAAAAAAATATTTGTTTATCTTTTGTTTATCTTTTATTTTAACTAGCTTTTTTTTAGATTATTTTATTGTTTTTCTACATTGAAAATTGAAACACTTTGAATGCATTTAATTATAGAGAGTTTGAGAGCCAAACTCATTCTCTAAATTAAAATGTTAATTTAAAGAGTCTCTTGGAGCATGATTTTAAATGTTGACTTTTTCAAATAGAGAGCATCTTATATTTAAAGAGTCTCTTGAAGATGCTCTTAAACTCATAAATCCGTCACATCTTTATTTAATTTTGTTCCGACGTCCCATTGATTGAAACATGAGGAATATTGAGGAAATTAAATTTAGAATTAATGCGTATACGTAACTACAAAAATTCCTTGAAAAGATATTCCCACAAATGAAAATCAATAGATTCTTTCCTGTAGCTATTCGAACACGAGTTACGATAAAGACGATATATAAATTAATACATGTTATTTTTGAACTAATAGTTTAAACTTTTAAATGAAAAGATTAATATGGTATTAGAGTTTTGCAAAAGAAGACTTGCTATGAAGATGGTGTAGGTATCATGTTTCAAATACAAAAATAGTAGATGAATGGATGTAACATGATACCAGCCAAACAAAAATAAGTATTATTGCTCATTTATGAAAATTGTTGAAATGTTGTTCAAAATGAATAAAATTCGAATGTGGAATGATGTAGAGTGAAAATGATATTTGGAGCCACATAGTTGAAGTATGCGGTCGCATAGGCCTATACCGGGACTGATGACCCCGGTATGGAATCAACTATGTGGTCGCATATGATTAGTCTATGCGACCGCATAGAATAAAATAATGGTTGTTATTTGACCGTTTGGTTCAAATTTTGGTGGCTTTTGGAGAGTTTTTTGGCATCACTTCATATGACAGTATTTCTATCCTATATATAGATGGTTTGTGATCAATAAAACTATGATTGAAAACATACAAAAACAATAGCCACATTTTGAGAAAAGAAATCATTCCAAATCATAGAAATCTATACTTTATTCTTTATATTCGAAAAAAAATTCTTTTATGTTCTTGAGTTTTAGAGGATTACACTTATTGCTTGAGTGTTAATCATTTACAAGACTTGTTTAAATCCTACAAATCATTTGCCTTAACCCCTACAAGCATTATTTCAATTCGAGATGGGGCAAATATAGTTTGAGAACAGCAGTATCGTGTTCAAGCCATCGGTTATTCATTTTCAAATTCATTTCCTGGTTTGGTGTTTGGTTCGTTGCTTTCATTGGTGATCTTCATTTTTCTGATTTTGGTTCATTGTTTTATTCTCCGATCCCTCAAGTGGAAGTCATCAAATTTCCAACCAACATTCTCAAATTATACTTTTTGCGATGGAGAACGAAAGTACTATGGCGACAATCAAGTTAATGAATCAAGACCTTGTGCGGCTAGATCGCTTTGATGGAAGGAATTTCACAAGATGACAAGATAAACTGAAGCTTCTACTAACAGTGTTAAAATATTTTTTACATACTTGATCCGGAATTGGTGCCACTACCGGAACCAACAAATTGAGAAATCGGTGCGATGAGGGCCGAAAGACAAGAGCACCAAGAAGATGAACTCATATGCTACGATCACATTCTGAATGCATTATCGGGCCGGTTATATGATCTCTACAACAACACAACATTGGCAAAGGAAATCTGAAATACTTTGGAGAGTAAGTACAAAGCCGAAGAAGAGGCACTAAGAAATTTTTAATCTCAAGGTACTTCGATTTCAAATTTCTAGAAAATATTCCCATTCTTCCCCAAATTTATGAATTGTAAGTGCTTGTCA